GCAAACACAGTACTAATGGCCAGGTGTACAAAGAAAGGGAAAAGACAGCCCCTGCCATTGAGAAGCCCCTTCCCCTATTTATTTATTTTTTTCTTTCTAATCTATGGTGGAACAAGAAACTAGAAAGCCAAGCATTTTGGCGCTATCTGAAAACTTGGGCGTATACGAACAACATATAAATAGTCTGAGAGGATCTCGAAGGGATGAAGTATGGGAGCATCAGGGAAGGAGCTTGGTGGTGTCTGTTGGCTGAACTTTTAACTCAGTTCTTGGTTCTTGGAGGTCTTTTAAGTAGGTGTGGTTGCCATAAAAATTAGATTAGATAATGAAGGGGAAAGTGCTTAAAATGCAAGCAATTAGCATTCCTGGTATTATTTACTATCATTCAATAGTAAATTATTTTATATTTATACTGGGACTCCGCCATATGTCAGTAATGGCCAAGAACCCACTGAAGTCATTCTGTGTACCAAGGCTGAATTCTACATGCCAAGGCCAATGTCACTAATGACAATATTTCATATCAAATTGGTTTAAAAATAGAAAAGTGAATCTGTCCAACAGATTAGAGAAGGAAGAAATGGAAACAATTGAACTCAGTAGTCTTGTGTCATAAACCTAAGAATATAAATTCTTGGAGAATTCCCTATTTGATAAAAATTGTTGAGAAAATTGGACAAGGTGATTGTTAAGTTCATAATAAAATACTTTAAATTAAAAAAGGGAAAGAAAAAGGGAAAGTAGTTTGGGAGCAATGAGGTTTACGCCAAGAACTTGCACAATGACAGGGAGGTCAAAATGGATATATGAGTCGAATATAAAGATTGAATTTTTTTAAATGGAAAAGAATCAGATCAGATAACTTTCATAGCTATGTCTAGGAGGAGAATTATTAACCAAACATGGGACAAGAGGTGATCATAATATTGCATGAAATTGAAAAGCTTTAGCATAAACAAAGTCAGTAAAAGTAGGTTCAGAGGAGAAACTGTCCATTGGGAATAGGAAGAGAAAGGATGGATGGGGAAATAAGGGTTAGATATGTCCTGAAATGAAAGTGGTATTAAAACAGAAAATACTAATCCAAACTTTAAAAAAAATGAATACTTATTTAGCACTTTATAATCCATGAAATACCTTTTGTCATATAACTGGGTTATAGGAAGGTACTGCTCAGGTAATTCCCATTTTACAGATGAAGAAACTGAGGTTTGCTTTGTTACATGGCCAAGAAGTGACTGATCTGGTTGACTCCAGTTCAGATATTTTGACTCTCTAGCTAGCGTTTCTTTTTTTTTCTTCTTGTACATCACATTATATCTTGTCTTTTCTCAGAACCTCTTTGTCAAGAGGTTAAAAACTAGAGATTTTTCAGATGTACAGCGGGGACAATAAACAGTAAAGAAGGTGGTTGAGGAGGAAAGAAAAAGCTAAAGAGAAGATGTACCTGGAAGGGCAAAAGAGTTGCTGATTCATTTTCCAAACTTGGCTTCTTGTTGGGACCTGTCAGGAGAGCAGCCTGGGGTGGAAAGTCCTGACTTGCTCTCTTGCTCCCCATCCTGCTGTTTGGACTAGGGGAGGGGGCTGGGCTAGGCAGTTTTATTCCTCACACTTTGCATGGAGGCCTTTTGGGCCTTGCTTGGGCATGTTGTCCCCAAGCTGCTTCTGGCACATATTTTTCTGTCAAACCTTGCTCTGCCTCACTATAGACTACCTTGGGAGTTCAGAGCCAGAGTGAGGGGGAATGAGGAGAGGGATGTAAGGATCTGATCCTTTCATTGCTCCCCCAGAAAGCAAAGACAGAGGCAGTGAAGGGTTTCTGTCCTCACTGAAGGGCTGAGGTTGAAGAAAAATCTTGACTATGACCTTATAAGAGGAAAAGTGAAAGGGAATGAATATACAAAGAATCCCGATGGAAACTTTTAGAAAATGAACTGTAAGTTGTTTTTATGTATAAGGGTATTTCATGCAAGCAATTTTATTCAATAATAAACAGTTACAAATTAAGTTTAACTGGTTATTGGTATTAAATATTATTTATACTAAATCATTTTAAATAATAATAATTATGAAAATGAGAAATGTAATGGAGGAATAGTCTTTCTATGAATCCCATGTCTCTCCATCCCTCCATCTTTTCCATCCTTTACTTATTCTTGTCTTGTGCTCAATGTTCCCAAAGTCCCCAAACAGAAAGATATTATTCCATGAATTCACTTAGTTGTTGGTCAGTCAATGAATAAACATTTATTAAGCACCTATGGTGTGTAAAGCATAATGGTAATATGGAATACCAAAGATTATCTTACTGTTCAAGCCCCTCATTTTACAAATGAGAAAACTGAGTGAGGTTATATAGCTGGCTAGTGGCATGGTCAGGACCAGAACCCGAGTCTCCAGATTCCTAGTTTCATTTCTACCATACTTTACTGCCTTGATTCCCATATACCTTCCTCTCTCCCCTCTCCCTCTGCTCCTCACATCCTTCCCCATCACTGTAACTCTGGAGAACAGACAGGTACAGAAATGTGGACATGGGGAGGGGATGAATTTACTCACAACAGTCACATGGGGCCTGGACTCTGCTCAGAAGAACTGGCCACATGTTAAACACTGCTTTGGGGAGTCTGTTTTATTCTGTGACTCCTGTAGCCAACTTTTGCCATCCTCCTTCAGCCTCGAGATGTTTCCCTACATGATTCTTGACCAGTTGGTGGGTGATATTCAAGAACGAGAAAAAACAAAACACTGTGCTGCAATATTGTCCTCTGTCAGAATGTTCCCTTGGGCTTATTCAGGCTCAGTGGGATGGGGGAATATGATAACTTGGGTTATAAACTGAGTTATCAACCCTTTCTCTCCCCCCCACCCTTTGCTGTATGAATTTGGATTTGAGTGGGGACTTGGGCATCATAAGAGAGAGCAATGGATGTGACAGAAAGATTGGGATGTAGGCTAGCTGTAAGAGGGGAAGGGAAAAAAAAACTCAGTTCCATCCCCCAATTGTTTTGAAAGGAGTCTATATATCGGGGGAGTATCATCAGTGTGGATAACTTCCAGCGTGGAAACATACTCCAGGGAAGAAGCAAACTTTCCATAGTTTAGAGTCTTAGAGGGTGGCCTCAGATACTGAGAGATTACGTGATTTGTTCAGGGTAATTTACCTAGCTGGTATATTTCAGGGGCACCTCTTGAACCCAGATCTTCCTGACTGCAGAGCTAGCTCTTTGTCCACTGCATCAGAGATGTCAAACACAGGGTGCATGGCAGTCAGCAACACTCCCAAGTTTTACCTGAACCAGATGAAAATTGTATTGGGAAATATTTAGCAAAGTTAATAAAAATACAGTAGATCATAGGTAATGTTCATGTGTGGTTTTCTAAGTCTCTATGTGCCTGCATGGATCCCTTTGTACGATTTAGTGGTCCCTGTTTCTATTTAAGCTTGATATGACCGTACTATATCATACCACCTTTGGGGATCCTCTAGACTGGAGAAAAAATGATAGGAGAGTGTTTAGAATCCAAGTCGCTGGATGGCTGTTACACCAAAGATTGGTCTGCAATTCTCACTCAGAAAAAAAGAGGCAATGTAATCTAGTGGTTAGAGACTTGGATTTAGGAAATCCTGCCTTGAAGTCCCATCTCTGGTACATTTTAGCGGCATGAGTGTAGGCAAGTCAATAGACCTTTCTAACCCTCAGTTTGATCATCTCTAAAATTGGAGATTAGAATCACTGTGGTACCTTCCTGACAGGGTTGTTAGGAAGTTCTAGTGAGATGATATATTTAAAGTGAGTGCTACAAAAAGAAATTGCTTCATATTGTCACCTCCTTTGTCATAAAAAACTCTTCCCTTTGGATTATTCAGTGGCACCTTGGGGAGTATGGAGGGCACTCCATCCATATTATTTATCAACTGAATTGGAACAGGAAATGTTTTAATTAGTCATAAGGAGCAAGACTGGCCATCTCAAGGATTAGGAGACACCAGAAAAGGGAAAGGAGTTAGAAAAATTGTACAGTAAGGGAGGTCTTTAAGAGGAAAGGAGACCACAGCCACACTCTCAGAACTCATGGTAGGGTCCTCCTTCCCTCAATGTGGTGAAGAAAAGGACAGTTGAGGTTTTTTGCCAACTCTAATTGTTTTCTTTTGAGTTTCCTCCCCTCTATGCTCCACCAGATCCTCCAGGGGACTTCTACCAGCAAGAACAAGTAATTCTGGTCCTTGGTTATCCTCCCATTAGAAACCTTTCATCCTTGAGTCTCTGTATTCTTCACCCTCATTATTTGTGTTTTAAATAATTGTGTTCTGAAATTCAGAAAAGACCACCATGGCTGCTGTTGAGGTAGTGAGCTCTACCTGTTCCCACATCTCTCAGACATTGCCTTCCCCTCTCCATCTTGCATACTCTATAACTAGAAGAACCACCATGATTCTATTATTTGGCACTCTACTGATGGCTTTGAAGAAGGGAGCCTGGAAATGGATCATCTTTAATTTTCAGGACAGATATAAATTGGGCTTAACTATTAGGTTATAGAAAGAGAAATATATCTAAGTGAGATGTGAGGCAGAACTTTATGATTTTGACATTTGAAAAACCCTGGAATGGCTTTCTCCAGAGAGCTTTAGGAAAAAGGATACCAGCTTTCTCTCTTTTCCCCCAATCTGCTTAGATCAGGGGTTCTTAACCTTTTTTATGTTGTGGAGCTTTTTGGCTCTCTGGAGAAGCTCATGGACCCCTTTGCAGAATAATGTTTCTAAATACATAAACTAAATATCATAAAATTACAAAAGAAACCAATTATATTAAAATATAGTTATCAAAATACGAAATGAAAGTAACTTTATAGACTCCAGGTAAAGGGCTAGACTGAATGCCAGAAATGAAAGAGGATAGTGATATGTACAACTTTTAAAGAACTACATGTGTAAAAACTTTGGGACTGAAGTTTGGAAAACTGGGAGTCACATTTTTTCTTTCTCTTTCCTCTAGATACCATTGATGACTCAGATGGCGGACTGGCAGAGAACCATGTGGATGGGACAGTGAGCGTGCTAGGTGGTGGGGGTCGGAAGCCCCACAAGTCTGGCATGAAGGAGTTAGCAGTGATCCGGGAGAAGGTTATAGGGCAGCATCGACAGCTGGGCAAAGTCAACATGCATCATCATATCCATGAAGACACCAAGAAACTGCGCCCACCTCCTACTAGGGTCAGAGGAGAGGGAGAGAGGGATGGATGGGAGAGGGGAACTGCATGTTGTTAAGAATCCACATACATAGACAACACTCAATTTCTCTGCATTAAATGTCAGGCAGAGGACATATCAGTGGTGTACCTGATAAGAGAATTGTGGCAATGGCATTGTACTAGGAGACCTAAGGTTCTAATTCCTCTCTTCGTCATTTAGCAGCAATTTGACCTTGGCAAATCACTCTCTGAGCCCCAGTTCTCTTTCTGCATGATGGAGATGATAATGGATGATCAGATGTCCACCTTTTATGAACCATTGGGATGATGGTGGACCAATCAGATGTCCATTGCTGTATGCAATGAAAAGGAGTTCAGATCCTGGATCAGCTGTTTTGCCACTTGTGTGATCTTGGGTCTCAGCCTCTCTGGTTTTCAGTTTTCTTGTGTGTAAAGTGAGAGGGTTGGATAGAACACCTCTGAGGTTCTTTCTGGTTCTAAATCTATGCTCCTTTTCATTTCTTATTAGACTTTGAGATTAGACCAGAGAAAGATAAATAGATAAATATATACATATACACATATATGTCTGTCTCTCTATATATTCCTATGTACATATTTGCACACATACATTCAGATCTGAACCTCATATAGGGCTCCCTCCATAACCCTGTTACTGCCAGTCTAGGAATATGGCAGGATCTTATGGGGTGAGGGGGGATGAAACTTGGGCTGCCTGGATGATAATGGCATTGATTATAAAACAAAAACAACTAACATTGACATTGTACTTAAAAGCTTGCAAAGAGCTTTACATATGTTATCTCATTTGATCCGCACAATATTCCTGTGAGGGTGCTGTTTTGTACCCAGATGTGGAACCTGGGGTTTAGGGGAAGTGATTTATCCGGGGTCACATGAACTAGGACGTACCCAAAGCAGGAGTCAGAGAACTCAGTTCTCCTGACTCCATCTCTCGTGCTCTCTCCACTGTTCCATGCAACAGATGGAGATGTGCTAGAATTCTAATTCTTCAGCTGTAGTTTCTTCCTGCAAATAGTTTTTCCAAGCCTCTGCACCCTCCCCAAGCCCACTGAAGCTTTCTAGTTCACTGAAGCCTTTCCCCAGAGCTGTGGCTGCGCCAGGGAGGGGAAAGAAAAACGCAAACTTGTCCCCTTGTCTGTTGTGTGGGAGTTGGCTCCCCTCCTTGTCGGTCAGCAGACAGCTTCTCCACCCCCAGCCTGCTTTTTCTCTGTCCCTTCTCTGAACTTCCTGTCTTTCTTTCTTGGCCCTGCATAGACCCCCTGCCAGCAGGAGCTGGACCAGGTCCTGGAGCGGATTTCTACCATGCGCCTCCCAGATGAGCGTGGTCCCTTGGAGCATCTCTACTCCCTGCACATCCCCAATTGTGACAAGCAAGGCCTCTATAACCTCAAACAGGCAAGTGGGCACCTGTCCCCAGGGTGTTTGGGGAAGAATAGGAAAGTAGGGATGAGTTTGAAGGGACCATGCTTAGCTCATAGGGGTGGCCATTTTCCATCCAACTGGATACTTTCAAGGCCAAGAAGTTTGATGGGAAGACATAGATCTGTAAATACAGTAAACCTGACTTATCCTAGCCAGCCTTCCTTACCTCCCAACCTCACCCCAAAATTATATCAGCCCATGTTGTTCCTTGTTTACAGCATACAGTTGAAAAGACTTTGGTGAATCAATTCGGGAGGAGGTTTAACTTATTGACCATTAGGTTGAGCCTCAGAGAGCTAAGCGAAGCAAGAGCTGTCTGAAATCTTAATAGATGATGCTGAGGGTAATGATCTCCTCTATCCCCTACCCCCTCCTCTTTTCTCTCCGCAGTGCAAGATGTCTCTGAACGGTCAGCGTGGGGAGTGCTGGTGTGTGAATCCTCATACTGGCAAGCTGATCCAGGGGGCCCCCACCATCCGAGGAGATCCTGAGTGTCATCTGTTCTACAATGAGCAGGAGGCTCGGGGGGCACACGCTCAGCGAATGCAGTAGTCTGGAGCCCACCAGTGCCCTGATGCCACCTCCTCCTCAACCTTCCTCCCCAAACATCAGCAGAGAGAGGAGAGTGGCTGGGAGGGTGGGAGTGCTGGTGGTGGTGATGGTGGTGGTGGTGGTTTTTCCACAAGTTTTGACACGTGTATTTATATTTGGAAAGAGACCAGCACCTTGCCTGGCATATACCCTGCTTTCCCCCTTTCCTGCATGAAATGCCTACTCCCTGTCCCCTTCTCTCTTCCCTTGTTGGGGAGGGAAGGAGGTGGCTGGGTGTGTGGAAGCCAGTGAAGGTCTGGGAAGGGGAGGAGGTTTTTATTTTTGAAGCCCTGTGTCTCTTTCACTTAAGATTAAAGGAAGGAATAAAAAAACAACAACAACTGTGTCTTGAACATTCCTGGGACTGGGAGAGCAGAGGCTGTCTCTAGACATGGCAAAATGGGACCAATCTCTGAGTCAGGAGGATTGGGGTAGGAACTTCTCTGAAGTTGTACAACCTTTTCAGTTGAGATCAAACCATATCAGCCCCAAGAAACTTATCTCTTTCCCTTTTATGTGAGCTATGGGATACTGACCTCCAGCCCCATTTTGCCTGTGACCTATGAGAAAGTGGCTTTATCTGTTGTAAATAAACTCTCCATCATTCTTGCTTTCTTCCTGCTCTGACAAAAAGAGAAGGGGGAGTACAAGGACCCCAAAAACCAAGAACTTCTTTGTGAAAGGAAAATGGGGAATTAGGAGGGAGTTGAGAAACTTGGGAAATGGGAATCCCCAAACACTGAAGCTAGTTAGACTCTTGTTGTTATTACTTTAAGAAGCAGAGAACCAATTGAAAACAAGCAAACAAAACTATTCCCCTGTCACCAAGAAGTCCAGGGGTTGGGAATCTGGGGTTTCACTGGTCCAGAGGCAGTGTGGCTAAGGGAGCCTGTCCTATGAGCTGAAGAGATTGGATGGTAGGATTGAATGAGCTGATTTTCAGTAAGAGAGGGAGCGATATCCACACAGGCTGCTAAGTGCGCTTTCTGCATGGCCATTAGGAAGCAGCTAGGTGGCATCACCAGCCCTGCTGCCAAAGACAATCAGCCAGCATGCCCCAGGATCAGAGGGATGCTGGAAGGACCATCTAGAGACCCTCTAATATACTCTTAGCATTTTACATAGGAGGAAACTGGCCCAGAAAGAGGAAAAGACCTGCTCATAATTGCACAGGTAATAGGTAGCAGAGCCAAGATTCGAACCCTGGATACCTTTTGACTATACATCCAGGACTGGTCTATACTAGCCCAAGTCTTCATTCGTTGAAACCATGTCAGGGGGTTGCAAAACCTCCTCCCTCTTTATTCCTCCCTCCTTTGTTCTGTTTCTCATCTCACCAAATCCAAGGACTCCTCAAATCATAGGCAGAAAGCTGGAAGGAATCTTAGGGCCCACCCCACTCATTTTCCAGATGAGGAAACTGAGGCTCAAAAGGGAATTGACATGTTCACAGAATAACAACAATAACAACTAGCATTTAATTCATTAATAAGCTTAAAACTGCGCTAATACTTTAGAGGCACCTTGTATAGTGCCTTAAAATTTAAAAAGCACTTTACAAATGCTCTTTCATTTTATGCTTACACCGATCCTGGGAGGTAGGTGCTCTTATTATTTCCTCTTTACAGCTGAGGAAATTAAAAGTAGACAGACTGAAATGACTTGGCTAGTGGCACATAGCTAAGTGTCTGAGGCTGGATTTGAACTTCCTGATTCAAGGTCTAACACTTTGTCACCTCTCTGCCTCCTATTGGCCATGGAGAGAGGGCATTGTTTAAGGGCTTGTATGAATACTAATCTTTCTCTTTCTGAAAATCATTTCACACGGACCCAACTCATCACCTCACTGGGCAGGCTATGTAGCCCTGAAAAAATGCCACCTCTCCCCAGTTTCACTAATCTCCTTTGCAGAGTGTCTTCAATGAGTTGAAGGGTGGGAGGTTGAGTGTGCACTGGTAGACTTAAGTATATGTAGTTAGTTTAAAGGGATACCAGTGGATCCATTGTAGATCTTGAAATTGGAGAGAGTGAGAAGACTGGGCCAGAACCAAAGCCCATAAGGGGAAATCTGTGAAAATCATTTATACAAAACTAAGTCTGGGCCTCCTGAGTACTCAAAGTAGGGCTGTGCTGCCATCTTGCGTCAGTATCAGAAACTCCAACTGCAATTCTCTAGAGTTTCAGACTATTTTATTAGGAGCAGTGGTGCAGTGTGTCAAGACTGATGATCTCAGAATTTTTGACTTCCATCTTTGGCTCATTTCCTTCCACCTCTTCCCCTTAGAATAGGGACAGGAGCAAAAGAAGAGAAGGGGACATTCAGATATATCTTTATTTGTCTGTATGAGGTTTTTAGATCCCCTATGCTTATCTTGACCTTGTTAGGACCCTGGGATGTAATGGAGAATGGCCTAAACCAATGGTTCCCAACCTATACTATTGCAAAGGGTCAACATCCAGTCATATGTTGTCTTCATTATTAGCTACTAACAGCACAATTAGTGTGTGTGTGTGTGTGTGTGTGTGTGTGTGTGTAGGTCTGGAGTTCTGGTAAGGTTAAAAGTGTTCCTCACACTCCAAAAGGTGATTAAAAACTCCAAACCTAAAAAAGACATGAGGCAATATAGTATAATGAAAAGAGTATGGATTTGGAATTAGAAGACCTGGGTTCCATTTCTTCCTCTGTCATCTACTCCCTATGTGCTCAAGCAACATAAACTCTCTGGATCTCTGTTCAACTCCACAAGAAGGTGGTTGGACTAGACTAGCTTTAAAGTCCTTTCCAGCTCTACATTCTTTATTTTAGGGTGGACAAATGGAATAATTGCCTCTCCCTGCTGGCAGAATCCTAGAGTTGAGCTTCAGAGTTGGAAAGGACCTCAGTGACCATCTAGCTGTTTGTCCTTTGGTTTCAAAGAGGACCAATGACAGCACAGGATGATGTCTTGACTCATGCATCAATTGGATTTAAGTGAGGCAGAGTTGCATAAAGTTGTTAGCCTCACTCTCTCTTAAGTCCAAGGGGCAAGACAATGTCTGGGTTGCAGTGGATGACCTTGGCATCTTTGATATCTGACCAAGCTCTAAGTTGTTGCTTCAGCTGCCTTCATGGCCATTGGAACAAATTGTTCTCATCTTCCCCTCCTGCCAGAGGAAGTCTTCACATGCTTGGGGTAGCACCTCATCTAACTCACCATTGGGTTTGTAGTTACCTCCCACCTGGTTTAGCTCATCTGCCCATTTACAAAGATGGATGAGCAGCCCTGAAAAGGGCTCAGCAGCCCTCACATCAGAGATGCTCCCTGAATACCCCATACACCCCACCAAAACCAACTTATACCTCCCAAATAATTTCTTCTATGATATACCCAATAAGTGGTCATCCAGCATTTGTTTGAAGATATCTAGCTTATTACTACATCCCGCAGAAACACATTCCACTTTTGGGCAGCTCTAATTATTAGAAGCTTTTTTCCGACATCAAATCTAAATTTGTCTCTTTACAACTTCTCCCTTAGTTCTAGCCTCTGGGGTCAAACAAGTCTAACCCTTCTTTTCCCTGATACCTACTCAAATTAAGGTAGAGAAAACTATCTTGTCTCTCCTGACTCTTTTCTAGGCTAATCTTCCAGTTCCTTCAACCAATCCTCATGTGACAACAACTGGAGCTTCTTCACTATATTGGTTACTCTCCCTCTAGCTTGTGAATCTCCTTCCTAACACGTAGCATCTCATACTGAAACCATATTTCAGGTGTGTTCTGGTCAGGGCAGAGTATATTTTCTGGGAAGCTATGCCTCAATTCACATTGTATTAGTTTAGTTTTTTTTCCCTACAGTCATATCATATTGTTAATCCATATGGAGCTTACAGTAAACCAAAACCCTCAGATCTTTTTTTCTGATAGATTGCTGTCCAACCATGCCTCCACCATCTTGTACTTGTGAAGTCCATGTTTTGAATAGAAATGGGACACTTTGCATTTACCCCTATTAAGTTTCATCTTATTAGACTCAGCCCAATGTCCAAGCTCACTAAGATTGTTTTGGATCCTGACTTTGTCACCCAGTGTATTAGCTCACCCTCCCGATTTGTGTCACCTGCAGATCTGATGACTAGACTATCTATGCCTTTATCTAAATTATTGATAAAAGTGTGAAGCAGCATGGGGCTAAAAACAGATCCCAGAGGCACTCCATTTCTCTCTATTGGAGACTTTCTAATTGACCTTGACCTCTTTTCTCCATCCTCTGGCTTCTTGGTAGCCTCAAGCCCTCCTCCAGTAGAGGAATGGGGTTGGAGAGATTATATGGTGTTAGTGCAGCTGAAACTGTTCTGTGGAAACTGTTGTTCTGCATGACGTGAATAGGGGTTCATTGAGAAACTTTAGGTGCTTGACTCCATTTTCCCCATGAAAAATTAAATATGGAATTATCAAAATGCTTCTTATGCGCTGTAAGATAAGAATGTTCCCTAGGCATCTAGGTGGCACAGTGGATAGAGCACCGATCTGGAGTCAGAAGGACCTGAGTTCAAATTTGGCCTCAGATACTTACTAGGTGTATGACCCTGGGCAAGTCACTTAACTCTGATTGATTGCCTCTCCCCCCAAAAAATTTTTTTTAAAGATAAGAATGTTACTATTTCAAGTTAAGCATGAAAATAAGTTTCCTTTCCCTTATTCTCCACCAAAATTTTTATGATTCTCTCTGCTCCCCCTTATTCCAAATGGCATTCCCCTATCTCCATATCTCTTGGACCAGCATTAATGGCTCATCAATAGTGGCCTGTGATCAGCCAGGAAAAACCAGGACGAGTGAAGGCAATAGACTCGAATTGAACTTGGGTTTGATTCCTGGCTCTCACTAAATATCCCTCTGTGTGAATAATGCACATCCCCAAGGTGATTTGGGATTGCCTAAGTACAGGCAGGAGACCTGACTTCAATCCTGCCTCTGCCATTTATACTTAATCATCTTAGGCAAGTCATTTTCTGGGGCTCAGTTTCTTCATTTGTAAAGTTAAGATAATAGACCTTTTAGGTCCTTTGCAGCTCTAAAACTATGATTCTGTAATTCTTCTCTGGGACTCAGTGTTTTCATCTGTAAAATCAGTGGATTATGTTAAACTCTCAGGATCCTCAGGCTGCTAAATTTATGACCTTTCAAGACTATGATAGTTACTTGTTGGGTGTGCTGTGGTAAGCATTCCTTTTGTGTATGGATTGTTCTAGATTAAATTTCATAATTTTGATTAATTCTCTAGGCCTTGATTTCTTCATATATGAAATGAGACCAGATGGCTCCTTAGCACCCTTTTGTCTCTAAATCTAGGACTCTAT